CTAAATGAAAAAACGATGTATTTCAAAGATGTGTATAAGAGACAGATAATAAGAGATACCTATTCAAAAAACTTTTGACTTTCCAGTATTTTGTATTACCCGCATCTATGATATGCTTATCAGTATTTTTATAATTTATTCTTACTAATTTTTTATTTTATTTAAGTAGATGAAATTACATTTAATGAACAAAGTTTAAATCTAGCACAAACAACATTGAAAACTGTGGCCCTACACAAAATGTAAAACAATTTATTTACAGCATAATTTAACTTTTAGACAAAAGCAAAAAAGCAGTGAGCATTTCATCCACAACTACTTTTTATTACAAAATTGTGTAAACTATCAAAAGAAAAATTAAATATTCATACACAAGACAATCAGATGAAACTATTAAAATATGTTATTAATAAATGTGAACTCAAAATTAATACTATTAAATACAAATGCTTACAATATATAGGCTATGTTTATAATAGTTAAAATGATGAATAAAAATTAATGATGATAACAAAATGATGGTGGTGATAACAACAGCAGCAGTAACAACATCAATTATAGTAGCTACGATATGAAACTCTTCAATGTGCATACTTTGTATGAAAAAAGCTCACCTGTATTTGTGGGGTAGGGTACATTTTGTTGGGCATGTGGGGATCCTCCAGAAGGATATTGAGGACGGGGTGGAGCTGCTTGAGGTGGCTTTGCGTATACTGGTGAGGCTTCACCGAACACAACACTCATGACTTGTATGAGACCAATCAAGTCTGAATTTGGCTGCAAGTAAAGAGGAGGTCTAATTACAAATCATTTAAAACCAAATACAGATCTCCCTCTAATCATTTATTTACTTATTTATTAGAAATTCAACACAAAGATGAATGTATATAAATGGATGAAATTGCTTGGAGAGAATTAAAGGCCATCTCCAATTAAGGAACATTTTTCTGTGGTCCTCAAATTAACAACATGTCTTTTATATTTATTAATCTAATTAGAGACCAAAACTGGAAACTCAAAAGTGGATTTTTATATGTTTATTTATTTAAAACCATGTTTAAGGACGGTAATACATCTAGCAAAGTTGATCATTTGAGACCATCACATACATAAAAAACACCAAAAAAAACGAAATATTAAAACAAAACCGATTTACATGATTGAATTAGAGAAGGACATGTACTACCTACTACCAGGATACAGCTCCAATCCACAACTATCCTGACTAATATTAATAACAAATTTTACAGAGTACACGTCCATTCTCGAAAATAACCCCACCCCTAGTTTATGCTTAAGCCCACCAACTAGTTTCTTTACGATTTATTGATTTTCAGCAAAAAAAAATACATGCTTTTAGCAATGCTGACTTGAAAATTTATTTACAAAGTAGTTTAATTTAAATAAAAAATAATCAGTTAGTAAATAACAATTAGGCTTACGTATTTCCATTCGTGCAGATAGGGTAAATAAATACGGCCGTTGGCATCCACATGCTTCGACGGTTTAATCAACATATCTTTAGTCGGCCTTACAAAGCACATTGGTGGATTGTATGGATGTGTGTCCATCACGTATACACAAATGGGGATGTTGTATCTTGACCCTAGATGAGGTAAATAAAATGCATACAGTAGATAACATGCTATTTAAATACCACAGCAAACACTGTTGCTTTACGTAGGTCTTACGACCCTTAATTGCGTATAATGGAAGCAAATCTTTGAGGTAGTTTTCTCTTAAAAATCTGTTTCAAAAGCCATTTCTCCATATGGTATAAACAACTATAAAAATTTTTGTTAATACTGTATATTTCTTATCATTAATTGTAATTGGAACAAAATTCTAGTTTTAATTTTATATTATTCATTTAACAGCAATTAATGTTGTCAATTACAATGAAAAAATACAGTTACAGTACTTCAATGTGATATGGACAGAAATAATATAAAATATATACACACACATGACATTCTGTAGGGAAAATGATTATATTTATAATCAATGTAATTAATTTGTCTAATTACAGTACAGTTAATTATAATTACAGTACCTTTATAATGGACAGGAATAGTTCCATCAATACACAGCAAATCCTTAACTGATCCATCATTAAAAGCTGTAAAACAAAATTACTAAAAAGTACTGTAACAAATGCTAGTTTTAAAAAAAATACTACTAAAAAATGTGGAAAAGTATCGAAGTGCAAAAGTACATTTTTTTTTTAAAATTCATTTCTTTTAGTTTTTTCCAAATTCTCCAGATGGTACCAGTACATTATTAGTATGGAGGCAGAACGTCAGAGCCACCAAAACACAGGTGCAAGTGGCGAAAGTAGTAGTGCTGGGGAAGGCAGTCTGGCACAGTGGTTTCCCATTTTGGTTATTGAACTTGTGGTCAGGAGTTCAAATCACACGTTGACCATTCTCGACTGGCCAAGCTTAGAAACCCTAGGTTGTTTACTCCGTCACTGATGGCCTGTGAAGTGGCTCAGGCTATGTTTCAGCCCTAGGTGCAAGCACTTCATGGCTAATATATTAATTAATAAAAATTTTAAAAAGTAACCCCTTTTTACCTAGAAGTGGCTTTTGGGCATTTTTGGGGGCACATTCAACAACAACAAACTTGTAGTATGTAGATAATATCATGATGTGTGTAACTAAACAAAAGATCATCTTACCATATTTCTCAATTTTTGGTTTCAAATCATTAAACGAGGCAAACACATTGATAACATCTCGTTGTGCTAAATCCTTGTGCTGGTACTGGAAGAGAGAAAGAATAAACCAGAGCCTTGCAGGCGTCAACGTTCCTATGCATGATACATGACTTAA